GTGTGTGTTCGTGTGCGCGTGTGTGTGCGTGTGTGTGTGTGTGTGTGTGCGCGTGCGTGTATATATGTATGTGTGTGTGTGTGTGTGTGTGTGTGTGTGTGTGTTTGATATTTTCGAACAGGGCCAGGGTCGACACTTACCATTAAACTTTTGTTCTACCGCAGTTAACACCTGTACAATTCTCACGTTCCTTTACAATTTTCGGATACAACTTTGCAATGCAGTTTGTCACCCGTGTCGAAGCAATGGATTAACAGTCCCTTTAAATATCAGTAGATGCTTCGGTAGTTGCTTTGATGTTCTCTTCTGTGATTTCTGGGAACGTGTAGCCGAGCTGAGGTGACGGGGACCTTAGCTGATCGTCGTTGTCCATCGAAGAGCCTTGTACTTCTCGATGCCAATGGCTTGTGTTACTGCTCGAAACACTGCTTGATATATTCCGGACGGGCAATATTTTGGTTTCTAAAGGCACAGCCTTGTTTTTACGTTTGCGCCAAAAGTCGAGGGAAGAACGGCTTGTGCCTTTTTTACACTAAGAATCTTCTTGTGAACGTCCTAGAACGACATTACAGTTAGGAAACTGGTCAACACTGACTACATTTGAGACAGTCATCTTACTAACCATTCGTAACGGCATAACCGCGGCTATATTTTGCGGACCAATATTTTGCCGATTGGGCGTTTCTTATGCAAAGAAGCTCAGTGTTGTAGATGTCCTCGAACGGCACTACAGTCCTGGTACTGGTCAACACTGACAACATTTGAGATGGGCATCTTACTAACCGTTTTGGCCGCTGGTTGTTAAGAGAAAAACGGCGTGTGCCTTTTGTCCACGACGAATCTTGTTGAAGAAACCCTACAACGACCTTACGTTTTGTGATACTGGTCAACATTGACAGAATTTGAGGCGAGCATCTTACTCACCGTTTGTAACGGCAAAGAAGACGTTGCGTTTTTCGGACCAGCATGTTGTATACCTTTTCGCCAATTCTTAATCAAAGTACGTCTTGGGCTTTTCTTACGCAAGGAATCTTGTTGTAAACGTCCCAGAACGGCATTATAGCTCTTGCGCTGGTCAACACTAACAACATTCGAGACGGGCATCTTCATAACCGTTTGTAGCGGCAAAGAACGCGCCATGTTTTTTGGACCAACATTTTGTTTGCATTTTCGAGGACCGTCAGTTGAAGAGCAGCTTTCGTCTTCTTCCACTTTTCTTGAGCAGCCTTCCTGAAGATGCCCATCAACGCGAGAATCACTCTGGTCAACGCTTACTATACTTTGAACACGCCCGTCGGTCATTGTTGACAAGGGCAAAGAAGTGGTCAAGTTATTGTAAAAGGCCTGTCGTCGTTTTCTGCAATAACTGATACATCTGATGATGAAGGCTACAACAAAGAGAGCCAGCGCTCCGCCAAGGACGCCAGCTGAGAGCCCTGTGAAAAGACAGAACACACGTTAGATTTGTATGAATGTTCATCTGAGCTGGTGTTTAACATTGTAGAAGGCTAAACTGTTCGAATCATACAAGAAAGCGTATCGAATTTCAAATGCCTCTAATGTAGCCCTTCTCAGGTTGAAATATGCGTTAGAATTGTGTCTTGTGGCCAAATTTGAGACCCATGTAAGGACGAGGTACCGTCATGTCATCAGCAGAAAGCGACTGTCAAAGCGACTGACCTTTCCAAAACAGCGAAAATTCAGAAGCCTTGACCGTGGTTCTCTCCCAACTGTTGATAGCAAGTGTTGGGGGCTCAGTCTCCGTTGGTGACTTCTCAGATTCGTGAATCCCTGCATTATCTGGAGACGACGTTTGTTGTGGACTTCCCGAAGAGCTGGGAGATGCACATGTCGGTAGAGAAACGTCTCTCAGCAAATTTCCTTTCAGTTGTTGCGGTGAGTCACATCTAAGAAACTCTTCAGAGCTTCTTTGCTTTACGATAGCTTTGTCATCCAACTGAAGCCAGTCCAGGATAACCGCAACGCCATTCGGGTGGAAGTTGCATTTGGCGAGTATACACCTCATGACCCTGACAGGAGAAGCGTTGACACAGCCTTCGTCCCGGTGTTCCCACACACATCGCCGCAAACGTACGATCCACTGGATCTTACAGTCACAAAGGAGAGGATTCTGCCATATCCGCAGATAGAATGTCTGCTTTTGGGACTTGAATCCATGCAGGAAAGTTTCGGCAATCGTGGTGATGCGATTGAATTGAAGGTGAAGATAAGTCAAGGATTGGGGGAAGTCGACATAGGCATCAACGTTCGAAATTTCGTTATTGTTCAGTTTTAAATGAAGAATATTCGATGCATTCTTCAGAGAAGACCACGGGAATCTTCTCAAACGATTGAAGGACAAATCAAGAAGAAATAGCTTCGGCATTTCTGGTATGTTTGTCAGCTCTTCGATGCTATTTTTATTGAGTAGCAGTGATTTCACAGTCACATTTTTGGGTATGGTCTTTAGATTGGGCACTTGCCCTGCACAGTTTCCGTACGTCCAACAAGTAATGGCTGTGTTGACCTGAACCACATTCTGTAGAAGTAATATTAAAAAGACAGAAAACATTTTGGCTAATAAAAGAGATGATACCTTCCTGGATTCGATTTGTCTTCAGGCGTGGTCTTCAAATGTCTTTTAAGACATTTAAAATGTATATGCTATGGTGTGATGGGCCTGGTGGTCACTGGTACCTGAAGCAATGGAGAAAATAGATTAATCACATTTACCACGTCATTTATCACATTTAACGTCTGATCATTATCCGTTCGTCTGGCCATTATTTTCATGGTGGCAATTCTACAAAGAAATTTTACATAAACATGTAACATCTGTATCAGCCAATGATTGCATCGAGGATCACTACACAGAAGACCACGACAATATGCAGTCTAGAGACAGTGTATAACTGCAGATTCCCTCTTGACAATAACATTTAGTGACACTTACTAGCATTTCTCTGGCATCAGTCAGAACTCGCTGGCGTATAGCTAGCTTAAAATGACTACGACGCAATATCCGGATTGACCGCCACCGTCCTATTTTGAATATTTCCTAGAAATAGCCGAACTACAAAGACGTCGGTTTCTTGATTGAACAAGAAAATATCCAGTTTCTTACCGTTTTGTTCATCCCCCATTTTCGCAGCTTGGGAACACCAAGGCGAGTAGCAGCTTTTCTCTGTTTTGTGAAGGTCTATGCTATAAGTCACGAGGCTTGAAACTTATCTATTGCATCGATTGTTTGCATATGGATGCTTTATATATATATATATATATTTGAATAGTAATGCTTAGTTGTAAAAGCCATGTTACATCTTTGTCCGGAACACCCCTCACTTGCGACCTTGACAGCAAACGTCCAAGGCAACACATTGAAAAAGCAGGTACAGGTTTCGACCCCTTGCGGGACTTAGCACATGTCTTTCCAAAATTGTAATCGTGATTCGTATCTTATTTGCAGTTCGTTGATGTATTTCCCTACTCACAACGACACAGGCTAAGGTAATAAAGTAATTGGCATACCAATGTCAATTATGGTTATCATATTTTCCTTCCCTGAAAAAAGGCGGTTGAAATATCTTCTGCCTTTTTAAGATATTCTGCTTTGTTTAGTCCTTAAGGATTGGGACAAAAGTACTGTGACCAATTTCATTTCCAGCATGCAAGTTGGATGTGTGATAGGTTCGACATCTGGGTCCATGGTCAGGGTTACTCACCTTTATTTAAACAAATTGTTGTACCACAGCTAATCACTATGTACTTATTTTATACCAAAAGAAAATAATGAATAGATTCTTTGAATGCAAGAGTAACAAAGATATGTGTTTAATCATGGCATGTTTTGTGATGCAATTGATCAAGCTGTCATTACTATTTTCACCTTACTTTAATGTGCACATTCCGTGGTTACTTATTCATCTTTCTATATTTCATACCCAGAGAAAGAATGCTACAAAAACGAAGGACATGTACAATCACAAATTGATCGACATGGTTGTTCTAGATTTTGATTAGTCTGGAGGATGCACAATGTACAAGGCTTATGAATATCGAAGTTATATGTAAAAACCAAGGACAATAGCAGATAGAAAACATTGACATTAAGGACAGTTATTGTTACAACTTACCAGCTAAGCTGCTTTCACACTTGATAATCAGGAACGCTTAAACTTTCAGTTAGAATTGCCTGGTGTCGTGTCAAATCGCCTACTCCGATCTTGTTGAAGAGGCCCTAGAACGGCACTACGGGTCTGATACTGATCAATACTGACAACATTTGAGGCTAGCATTTTACTAACCGATTGTAACGGTATAGAATTCAAAGCTGTCGTGTTTTTCGGACGCGCACTTTTTTTGCGTTTCGCCCGAGTGTCGATTGAAGGACGCCTTGGGCTTTGCATCCGCAAAAAATCTTGTTGTAGACGACCTGGAAAGGCATTATAGTTCTGGTGCTGGTCAACGCTGACCACATTTGAGACTAGCATTTTACTAACCGATTGTAACGGTATAGAGTTGAAAGCTGCCGTGTTTTTCGGACCCGCACTTTGTTCACGTTTTGCCCGTGTGTCGATTGAAGGACGCCTTGGGCTTTGCATCCTCAAAAAATCTTGTTGTAGACGTCCTGGAAAGCTATTATAGTTCTGGTGCTGGTCAACGCTGACCACATTTGAGACTGGCATCTTACTAACTGTTTGTAAAGGCAAAGAAGGTGTCGTGCATTTTGTACCAGCACTTTGTTTACGTCTCCGCCGAGTGTCAATGTGCACGTTTGCACCGAGGGTGGCATTGCTGCTCTGGCCCTGGTCAACATTGACTACCTTTGACACGAACATCTTACTAACCGTTTGCAACGGCAAAGCAGTGCCCGTGCTTTTCGGACTAACATGTGGGTCGGGTTTGCACAAAGAGTGAACTGAAGGACTGCATTGAAGATGTCCATCAACAGTACAATCACTCTGGTCAACGCTTACTATCATTTGAAGACGGTTCCCGGTTCTTGTTGGCAAGGTCGGAGCACTGGCCATGTTATTGAGCCAGGTCTGTCGTCGTTTTCTGCAATGGCTGATACATCTGATGATGAAGGCAGCAACAAAGAGAGCCAGCGCTCCGCCAAGGATGCCAGATATGAGCCCTGTGGAAGGACAGAACACACGTGAGATACAATTGTTGGTAAACATTGTTGTAAAAACTGTTTTAGTACAGAACAAGAAAGCGTATCTATGTCGACTGTCTCTTGTATCCCTTTTCAGATTTCAAAAAAGCACGTGCGTGTTATTGTAACGTACATAATATTGTATAAGCGTTAGCATTTTATGTTGAAGTATGATAATCCATCGTACAACAACGTCGGTGAAGGTTAGACATCCAGGTAATAAGATACGCCAAAAAGTAGTTACTCAAGCAACTGGATATGATTTTGGAAACGGTCAGACGTTTCAGGTAGCATCCACTACCTTTCGTTAGTGACACTAAGAAACCAGAGGAGAAATGCAGGTTTATAATTACGAACTGTTCATTGATATGCAAAAAGTTAAGCCAATTTTTACGAAGTCCAAAAGGAAACAAAGGGCATATCAATGAACATTTTGTGCTTATAAACCTGCATTTCTCCTCCAGTCTCTTAGTGTCACTGGTGAAAGGTAGTGGATGCTACCTGAAACGTCATGACCGTTTACAAAATCATATCCAGTTGCTTGAGTAACTGCTTTTTGGCGCATCTTGCAACAATACCACTGCGGCGGGTGTCCAATATGGTGACCCATGCAAGTAAAAGCTACGGCCACCTTAACAGAAATTAAAGCGACTCACTTTTCCAAATGAGCGAAAGTTCGGGAGTGTTGACCGTGGTTCCCTCCCAGCTGTTGATAACGAGTGTTGGGGGCTCTGTCTCCGCTAATGCCTTCTCAGATTCTTGAACCCCTAGATTATCTGTAACTGGAACTGAAACTGACGTTTGTTGCGAATTTGCAGAATCGTTGGCAGATGCACATGTCGGTAGAGAGATGTTTCTCAACAAAGCTCCTTTCAATTCTTGCGGTGAGTCACATCTAAGACTCTCTCCGAGGGTCGGCTGTTTTACAGAAATGAGTTTGTTTTTTTGAAGCCAGTCCAGGATGACTGGAACGCCATTTGGGTGGAAGTTGCACTTGGTCTGTATACACCGCATATCTCTGCCGGGAGAACCGTTGACACAGCCTTCTTGTCGGCGTTCCCACACACATCGCAGCAAACGTGCGATCCACTGGATCTTACAGTCACAGAGGAAAGGGTTCTTCCAAATGCGCAGATAGAATCTCTCTTTTTGCGGCTTCAATCCGTGTAAGAAGGTTTCGGGAATCGTGGTGATGCGATTACACTGAAGGTAAAGGTACGTCAAGGACTCAGGGAAGTCGACGTAGGCGTCAACTTTCGAAATTTCATTATTGTTCAACTTTAACTCACAAATGTTTGATGCATTCCTCAGAGAAGACCACGGGAATGTTCTCAAACGATTGTCGGACAAATCCAGAAGAGTCAAGTTCGGCATTTCTGGTATGTTTGTCAGCTCTTTGATGTCATTTAAAGACAACAGCAGTATTTCTGTCGTCACGCCCTTGGGTATGCTGGTTATATTAGGTGTTTGTCTTGCGCAGTTTCCGTAAACCCAACACTTATTGACAGCGTTAGTGTTTATTGGGGTGGGTACAAGTATATATGTGATACAAAAGAGGAGAAACATGTCGGCTGATCTTAGTTACGTCCTACCCAAACGGATAAGCGTGTAGATCTTCAGACGTGGTCACCAACAGTGCTGCCGTCATCCTTCGATGGTTTGGTTTATTTCTTGATTCTCTCAACTTCTCTGAAAGGAAATAATGAGGTACTTTTTGGTTGTGCTGTAATCCGCACCATTATAACCATCTAATATGCGAATGACAGCTCATCTGTGTTAGTAGAATCCGTAGTTGTAGAGTTTTAAGCTTAAGATAATGATGGTATTGATGATGTGGATGATGATGTTGATGACATTATTGATAATGATGTTGATAATGATGATTTTGATGTTAAATGATAGCTGTAGATCTTTTAAGTTTTGTTCTATTACAAGAAAGGAACTCACCATGAATTTTCAGTCGGTCTTCATCAGATGTATGATCCACTGCGCTGACTCTCAGGAAGCCGGAAGCGCCATGACGTCAGGAATGCATCAAAAGTGGCGGGAAGACGAGAGGGCTGATGATGGGCCCTGAACGATGGAATACTGTCTACTGCACACCCCTCACAACGTAGTCCTGCTCCGTATCTAAGATCGAGTTGCTTTCTTGTGTCAGAACAAAATTTAAAAGCTCTACAACTATCATTCAATATCATAATCATCATCAAAATATTTTATCATTATCAACATCATTATCAATAATGTCATCAACATCATCATCCACATCATCAATACCATCATTATCAGCATAAGCATCATAAACAGCATCAACAGCATAGCCAACATTAATGAGTGGCTGAAGTGCAAATTGTCGTCCGTTTGTATTTTGTAGTAACTAATAGCATATATATTATATTGTAACAAAGCAATGAAAGATAACTAAGAACATATCATAAGAACGTAGCGCTTTTCTTTCCCCCGACTATAGTCAATAGTGAATTGCAAAAAAAAGTGGAGATCTATTTTGTTAACTGCCTGTCTGTGCCTTCGTTTGAGTAAACCATCTAAAAAGTAGGGTGTACATTGTCGCTGTTATGCACGTTTTCTACGTAAATGCATGCAGAAATTTATTCATTTTCCGTATTCTAGGGTGAAAATCTTAGACAGCCTCGGCGACTGCAAAGTTATACAATGTTAAACATGAGCTTGGTTGTCTAATCCAATCTTTTGTCTTGTTCCTCAGCGGGGGCCCTGTAACTCAACAACCACTTATTGTACGGCCACCAAACTTTCAGAGAATGGTGTAGTAAAATCAAATCATAAAAAAAAACTGTGTTATTATGACGCCATATGACGTCATTCATGTCATTCATTTTTTAGGTATAACTGTCAAAAATTGTTTTTTTCAAAACGTGTCTAAGATAGAGTGTTAATGTCTGCTACGACTTATGTTGCCCCTGGCAACAACACTGACGTCAAAATGACTTCATAAAATGACGTCATGCATAATTAAGCTGTAGGCCATCTTGGATCAGAAATTTTGAATTTTGAAAATTGCAAATTTACAAGATACAGCCTCAAAACGCAACACAAATGGACTAAAGATGTTCATATGAACGTTTTATGTAAAAAAATAAGAAAAATACAAGTTGAGACGAAAAATGTGTGAAAAAAAACATGGTTAACAGAAGAGCTAATTAATATGGTCCGCCATCTTGGATTCTGATTGAAGACGTTATCAAATTAGCATAAATCATTAATATTTCATGATAGAAATTATACATCATTAAAGAAGATGTTATTGATGTTAAAAAGGAAGTGTAATTTAACATAGAACGTAGAAAATTTTAATGTTTGAACCAAATTTACTGATTTTTAAAAAAAAACTGTCAGAAACTCGTTGGCAACAGGAAAAATCAGGAACTTATCTAATTAATATGAAATTGTTCCTAAAGATATTTTAGGAGGAGTGACCAAAGTTGCATGCAGGTTCTAGCGCAAGCCGTTCGGGCGCTATCCGAGATGAAATCGGGCGCGTTTTGGTCGTTATCTACATTGTACATGTACGTATACGATGTCACCTTGTGTCTGTTCTACACTGACGGATCCTCGCCTTGTAGTGAAGAACACAGGCGTAGCTTGAAAGAGGTTACAAAGCAAGCAGAAAGCGTGAAAAAAGCGGCGTCATGGATATGTATTTGCAATTAGATGTCAGAATAGAAAGCAAATTACGTCTAGAGTCAATCAAAAGCACTCGGCTTACCTTAGCTTTGAAGTACTAGGCGAACCGGTCACATCTACCGACACTGTATGGTGTATTTGTATTTGTAGACGCCGGCGGTGTTATACAACATGTGCATGAAACATTCACGAAAACACGCTCCCTGTGACGTATGGACAGGTGGCTCCAGGTTTGATTGTCTGGGTACTCTTTTTATTCTGGTGCTGAATATTTTACCTACAGTTTTTTTGCCATATGGTCTTGCGAAACGACAGATTCACAAAGATAAGGCAACCAGAAATGGCAGACTTCACCTCTTCAGTATTTCAATCCCTTGGTTAGAAACACAAACAGACATACAGGCAAACACACACACAAACACAAACACACACATAGACACACATACATATAAACACACACACACACATACGCACAGGCATGCACATTGCGACCTAGCATCTGGTAGCTAAAACACGGGAGTCGACATACTCACCGCAAAAAATCACTGATTCTTTTATTTTATTTCATATTTTCGATCACGTCTGTGCCTTGTAGGTAACTCACAGTGGAAGAAATGTTGATATACGTAGCATCAAGATTCATATTCTAGTAGTGTAATATTGTACATATCTGCGTAGACGCTGTGGTGGTTTAATTTTTACACCTGAATGCTTGTGTGTGACAAGTCGACAGCAATATGTTCGCCATCTTTAATTTGTTTGTTTGTTTGTTTGTTTGTTTGTTTATTGTTTATTTAACCAGAGATTGTTAATTTTCCCAAGCGGTGTGTGGTTTAAAATGAAATTGTGACGCCCGCAACAATTTACATGTATTCTTTACTCAATGGTCACTAAATAAGAAGGTCGGAATTCGAAGGTCACTTCAATGTTATGGGTTCAATGAATAAGTCTGCAGGAACAATATCACTTCTTCATTATGCCGGCGTCGCAGTGCCATACCCGTAGCCGGGGGGGTGGGGG